TCTGAAAGAAAAACGTTGGGAGGCTTGAGGTAAGTAACTTTCAAAAGCTTTGATTATCTGTCAAAGAAAAAAAGTGTTTGAAATATGGCTAGGAAATGGTAAACCATTAAGAGGTGGCAACTGGAATACCCAACACATTGCTGTTTCTCTTTCTTTTTCTGAAATTATATCTTCTGGCTGTATAAAAGCTTCATTAATATTTCTCAGATTTCCTTATATGGCAAATTATGCAACAGAACATGATCAAAGCTAAAAGCACCAAAAAGATATTAGCAGCTCTTCTTCAGCAAATTCTTCCAGTGGGGATTGTTTCAACTACATAACTTAAAAAGTGGGAAATAAGGTGAGTATGAGTCTAGCAGTAATATACTGTAATGATTATTATATCATTTTTCTGTAGCAACTATTATTCATCTCTATAAATAAAAAGCAAAGTAGTTAATGGTCTTAGAGCGCTAAACATGTACTAATAAACTTTTCTGTAGTATCTCCCTGACTTCGACGTGCCTTAAATCAAGTACCCGTGCTGTCAGTAACTTCTGGCAAACACGTTTGTTGAACAAAACGTATTTTTAATTTGTTTACAAATACATACTGCAGCATTTTATAAACATCTGCAAATAGCTTTTTACCATGTGGGAACATCTGCAAGTCTGGGCCCAATACCCTTATAAATTGCCTGATTTGAAATCTTTTCCTGCTGATAGGAGGATACAGGAGGCAGATGCACTTCCTTTCCCCAACACTGGGATTCAGCTATGCATGCAGACTAGTAAACTGCAAAGCTACATATTTGTGTAGATTAGGAAATAAGCTTTATTGTTTATATACATGTGAACATTGTGAACATTCAGAAAGAATTTAAGAAAGCCTAATTCAATTTAAGAAATTAAATTTGCCTAGGAGAGCAGAAGTACCAGTGACATTTGGTGTTATTTTAAAGACCAAGACTACAAATACTGGTGTTAAAATAGTTAGGTAATTTACCCTATTTTAACTTTCTTCATGACAAAGCAAAAGAATGAGAGTTCAGTTTCCCATAAGGCTTATATTTAAAGAAAAGAAAAAAATTGACTATATAACTGGTTGTCTGACTGAATTCAGCTCTTTGTTTAACAACTAATGCCACCTAAAAGAAGGCAGGAAGTTCTTCACACTAGAACGCATTCATACCATACGTGATCAAATACTTTTCAAAGAATAATTATTCTTTGAATAATAAAAAGCTCTCCTTCAAAACAGCAACTCAGCACTATCACTTTAAAGTCAGATAAATACTTTCATTTGATCTTCATGTTCAATTTATGAGAAAGATAAAATGATTATGTAAATATTGATAGAAGTTGGTTTACAGGTTAAAAAATAAGCAAGTTCAGGCAGCCTGTACTCATTCAGACCTGTTCTTGAAACTTCCTTTGACAATTAATAAGGTCATACTTGAACTGTAAGAATGATGTTGATTTTTGAAGAAACTCAACTGAACTGGTCATCTTGCTGCATCCCATGTTTCTAAAGATGTGAGACATCAAGGGCCATTGAGCAGAACACCAAGAAGGCAAACCAAGAAGCACCTGGAAGTAACTCATTAGTCTTAATCCTTTTCATTCTCCTGCAGACTTTATCCCAAACTTGTGACATGGAGAACCTAAACACAGAAGCTGACAAACTTACGGCTTATTGCAGAAAGCTGATCTGAGAAGTTCAGAGGAACCAGACAAATAGAAAGAAAGGAAGAAAGGAAGGAAGGAAGGAAGGAAGGAAGGAAGGAAGGAAGGAAGGAAGGAAGGAAG